TGAGGGCTGCCAACCTGAGGCGTGGTTACGCGGGTGTGGCTAGAAAGGCAAGTAATGACCTGAGGCGTGGTTACGCGGGTCGAAAGAAATGTCCTGAGGCGTGGTTACGCGGGACTGAGCCCGGCTTGATCTGAGGGCTGCCAACTTGAGGCGTGGTTACGCGGGTGTGGCTAGAAAGGCAAGTAATGACCCGAGGCGTGGTTACGCGGGTCGAGAGAAATGTCCTGAGGCGTGGTTACGCGGACCGAGCCCGGCTTGATCTCGATGGCTGGCCCGAGGCGTGTTGACGCGGCCGTGTGAAAGGACCCGGGAGGTCGTGAGAAAGTTGCTCGGCCACGCATGCGAATTGAGTGTGATTGAATTGACTGGTTGAATTAGTTGGAGTGATTGAGTGAAAGCATGGTTGGTGTTTGAGCGATTTGTGATGTGTTATTTAATTACTATTATTGCCTTATCACGTGACGACTAACGTGTAGAGTTGGCATGGACTTGATGGCGAGGTAAGTACAATGATGCGAATTTTTATATGTTATGGGGTAGATTGCATGTCTGACTTGTCTGGGTACGCATTGGCCTACGTGGGGTTTAGGGGGTTGCTTATTGAGACTCGTTCTCACGGTTATTATATAACCATTTCAGATCCGCGACCGTAATCGATTCGGAGATGCCGCCAGAGCACCACAGGGATTGAAGAATAGATCATTTACCCTGTCTTTTGAGTACCTTTTGTAGAGGAGATAAGCTTGTCAACCACCGCCCCCTTTTGAAAACTGTGGTTCTAAATTGGTAGCCCGAGTTATCGTTTTGTATAGTGACTACTTTATGTTGGTATGCAATTATTGTTTCGTACTATCCCTTTGTCATTGTTTATTGTCTGAGTTAATTAGTTTCGCTTCCGCTTGCCTTTATTGTTGGATGTTTCGTTTGGGTCGGCGACGCGTCCTGAGACGTCGCGTTCAATGATCGACCATCGAGGGATGACCGCGCGCTTGTAGGGTGCGGGGCGTGACAATATGCTTTCCAAAAAAGCTATCTTTGATAGTTTGGCCAGTAACCCAAAAGTACACTACGATGGCCAGTGGTTTTCTTATAAGGTACACTCCACTTTCCTGGGAAGCTCCTCTGTTGTATAAATATCTACCGTCTTTTCTTGAGGTGATAGTTTGGTTTTGGTTTTGGAATTGCTCCAGTCAAAGCACGATGTGAAGGACAAGAATCAGTTACTGAAGTTGATAAGAAGCCACATGGTGGAAGTTGCTGTCATTGACCTTAAGGATGCATTCCCAACTGTGATCGAGGACTTACAGGCACATCGACTTGCTGATTGCGTTCTCCTTCCCTCATTATGACTCGATTTTGTTTTTCTTCATTTTAATTAAACGACTAAGATATCAGCCGCATGCTGAAGTTAGCTAGCTAGGCTAGCGCATGATGGCTTTCTTAAGGGGCTTGAAATATCTTCTTGAGATTACCGTGTAGTCGTTATAGTTGCTACTTGATTGTTGCTGGGGTTTACGATTCATTTTTGGCATTTCCTATTACGTTTCATATTTACAGGGTAACAAATTAAATGACTGCTGAATGAAGCTTGGAGTTCCTGCCATGTCATTTTTGCCACCTGAAACTGATTGGATAGTTGTTCTAGTTGACTATTGGACCCAATAACACACATATGCTACATCAGAACACAATCACCAAAAGGGTGAAATAGATGTTTCATGCTTTATCTAAACTTCCTATCGTTGTGGTAATAGTTGATGTCTACCATTATCAGCAATATTGGTTTCATGAAGAGACTTTCATCATAATCTGAATCGATGTGCTGGGTCTCTATTGTCTTTTAATTTTAGTTTCTATATAAATTGTGATTGGGATGGTCACTGGTTAAGGGTTTAGTAGAGAATGAGGGTTAAAGTATAAGATTTTCGTATTTTTGTGGCCTGGGGAACGACACATGGAGTTCTTTGTTATGCGTCTTGATTTCTTAGACAAATATACAAATATATACAGGCCTTGAAAACTGCTGGTCAAGTATGGCTCCTATCGAACTTCGACTCTCAGGAGGATATTGCCGACCCGAATGATCCGAAAGTGCCCATAAAAGTAGATGACGATCTGAAGCAACTCTTTCGGAGTATTGAATTACCTCGGGACATGATCGACATCGAGAAGGATCTCCAGAAGAATGGGGGATGAAACCATTGACGAACACCATGCAGAGAAGGCTTGCGGCCTAAATCCAAGAGGACGAAGCTCACCAGCGTTCATCTTCCAGAACTCTTCGAGAATCTCAGAGCTTGATAAAGGATGGAGACGCAGAGGCTGTCCTCAACAAACTAATCCAGGAGAACTGCATGGGCGATGATCTTTTTCCCCGTGTCTTCTATTGCTGTACTTATCGCGTGCTTGTTTTGGATCATCGGGGTCGACCATAATCTTAAATATACAGTCGCAGAGTTCTTGAAGTCAGGTTCATCCAAGTTTGGAGCAGGCAAAGAACTAGTACTAGAGAAGTCTTCACGTACAAGATCTGCCAGCAGGGCGTGAACCTCGTCTGAAAGACGTCCTTGGCAACTTCATGCTCAAACTCAAACCTACTGCTACCGGCCGGCCTACCAAGTCTGGTCCTACCAATCAGCAAACCCCATTAGATCAACAAAAGATCAATGACAAATGTATCAGCCGAATCTGTCTCCTAAAACACTTTATGCTTCTTTCGATTCCTGACGGATATATGAGTGGTATACGCACTAGTCCTATCTCTCAGCGATATTAATATGGACAATCCAAGTTTCCCAATATCCTTGCTTGACTGACGTTCGGTTCACAAGCCACTGCGACTTCATCTTACAAATTCTATGACATGTGAGGGACAGTCCCCTATCTCATTACTTGCTCAAAGAACTAACACTGCCATTTGTTATATAAGAATTCAAAATATAATGCTCTAGATTAGGAGTGCGCAAAACGGACTGCCCAAACTGGGACCGGACCGGACCAGACCAAACCGGCCAGTTTGGTCTGTTTCCCGAGAATGTCAGTCCGGTTCACGGTTCTTAAAAGTGGAACCGGTGTTCGGACAATCCGATTCCCGGTTCCAAAGGGAATCAGACCGGAACCGAACAGGACTGACCGAACCGGACTGACTACCTATACTTTTTTTAATTTTTTTTATTTCTTCAAAAAACTAGTAAAATGTGAACTAAATCCTAAGTGAAGCACATTTTTTTATCCGTTTTTTTCAATTTGAGGATCATTGCATACATATAACTTAATTCAACACGAAAAGATGGCATCAAGTAGTGGAAAAAAGTGTGATCGGCTCCATTGGACAAGACCGGTGGTCCGGTCTGGTTCCCGGTTCTAGGACCAACCAGACTGGTGCCCGGTTCCTAATTTTAGGAATCAATTCTCCTAGTCTAGTTCCTGCTTCCACCTTGGAACCGGACCGAACCGGAAACCAATCATCCCTATTCTAAATGCACGCCGCATTAATCTCTGAATTCAAAAAATATTGATTGTCATTGCGAAAATGACATGCTATGAACCTGTTCTTACTCCTCCGTACAGGTCCTCAAGAGCACAAACCCAGTTTCTTGAATCTTAAGTAATTACATAATGTTCTAGCCACTAGTCACAAGCAATTTTGAAGCTCCATATGCCACCAGCTCGCGCCTCAGCCTCTTGTTCGATGCTTGAGTTCTTCGATCCGCTTCACCGATTTGGAAATCTCGGCATTTTGTAGTGGCCACTTCCCGCGAGCAGGTCATAGTCGCAAGCAATTTTGTAGGAGATGAGAGGCAACAGACCAAGAAGTGACGCAAGAATACATGTTCATTGACACATACTTTATAACTTGTCACTTTTGTCGTCCATATATTTTTCTTATTATATGGGGTTTTGGCAAATAATAAAATCAATTCGATTTATCTTTTGAAATATATATATTGCTCAACACTAAAATGGAAAGGTCCCGGGCTTTGTAGATAAAAAAAAGAAAAGACATCATAATTCATTTGGCATAAAAATAACACCAACCATTGTAATTCATCTAACTTGCACGATTTGATTAATTCGGCATAGGAGCTTGCGGATCTACAAACGATCATGAAGTAGAGGATATAAGCCATGTAACTCCTATTAGAATGAGAGCAAAATGTTTGTTCATCATGCATCGGAGTCAATCATATATAATATAAATTTCTGAAAGATTTTGCATTCTTTTTTTCCAAAGACACGTTTTCATAAAAACCTAGTAATCAGTGATCACTGGAATAGACTTATTGATTAAGAAAATTATTTTCTTTGTGAAAAACCACTAAACTTATTACAGAGTTTGCCTCATTGTCTTTCGATCACAATTTTTTGTTTTGTTTTGACCAGTAGATCTTTTAATATCCATAAAATCTTTTTAACAATTATCTACTTTGACTTTGGACAAGTAGACATAAAATGAGAATTAAATCCACTCACTTGGAAGGTTTGATTGTATCGGAGTACGATTAAGATAAGATAAGTTGAGCTGTGCTTCAATTTCCAGAATTGATTTGTCCGGAAAAATTAAGGCACAACATTTTGACTGAATTTGATGAGGTAGTTGATATGCTCAAATCCAACCCCACTTGATAATTACGGATAAAAGAGAGTACAAGCATTATCATTGTCGGGCTTAAATTGGAATTTTGAAGTCGACATCAAATTCAAGCAGTGATCAAAATTGACAAATAACATGACGTTTCATGTGTTTTAGCATATGTGCGTAAATGAGTTAGCTACTCAGGCCAGCAAGTCAAACAAATTAAGTATCATAGAGTTCAAGTCACTCGGGTACTTTCGAATTTGACTTGATTTGATACTAAAAGGGTTAACTAGACTTAGAGTGACCCCTCGATAAGAATCAAAAGTCGGGATTCAAGTTCGAGTAACACAGTAGTTTGATGGATTTGTGCCGTGTAGTGAGGAAAGTTGCTTCTTGCAATGTTGCCCTTGAACAAAACAAGTCAATAGTAGCGTTGGCATGACATGAAACTTTCTAGCCATTCCCAACCCAAATTGCACTATGCAGTGACATTTTCTTTCAATCATAGTTCGGTTCGTCTTTGGAGTCGTACTCAGATGAATGTGAGACTTTCCATTTAAAGATGGCCTCGATACCTTGAAACAACGAAACTTTCCCATATGAAGTAATTCGATTCTGATGTGAGCCAAAAGACCTTAGACGGGGGCATTTCCACGGGCAATTATGATGGTGTGTAGGCAATGGGCATTGGAATCAACGGCTGAAGTTGGTAAACAATGAATAAATCCGGTGGGTACCAAACAAAGGCAGGATTTCCTTCCGAAGGGGGTATTATTGATGACCGAGCTGGTGCAATCAATGAATGATCTTCTTTGCGGAAATTCTAGCTCTATTGTTGCATTTGGCGGGATCTCCTCAACCCCTTTGCTTCCATAGGCTAGCTCGGGGCGGAACTATTAGTAGCCTCTGAGTTCAAGAAGAACAGCTGGGATTCAAATTGGATGCAAGCAAAAGTAAATCTAGCTACTGCTATTTACTCCATAAGATCTGCCTATCATTTCATATACTCTCATGCTTGCTATCGCACTTCACTAATATTCTTAGGCAAAAGCGATGTAGCAGCTCTTCCGCCAGTTAATATAGGAACCACTTGCTTAGGCAGTACCTCCTTAGTTGGTTACTTATAAGGAACAGTAGACAGAGCAGCTCAAGAATTGTTTCCCATAGCAGATAAAAGAATATGTGCATTTTGAAATAATAGAAAGGCAATTTTCAGAGTCAGTGAAAGTTGACAAAGACGTGATATAGTACCTGGCTTCCTACTCGCATGCCTTGAGCACCCAAGTCCAAACCCTTAAGTATTGTGCCCCTCTCTGATGGGCCAACATTTAATCCATATGGTTGCAGCAATTAAGAAATGTTATTATTAACCAAGCTAAGGTCAAAGGATGAAATGCCATAGGAACCATAGATACTGGAAACACAAAATTCACCTTATAAAGATGGAACTAAAAGTTCAGATCTTTATCAACAAATCTCGTAGTTGTATGTTATGTACGAAACCTTAGAACAGAGGTTCGTGGCAGCATCCTAAAACACCATATAAGATGTGTTCAAGTACATTGTTCTTGATTAGATGAGCAGATCCAGAATTTATGGGCATCTAGCAAAAACCATTACCTGCTACCTTGACTTGAATTTGTTAACAGGAGCTTAGGATGAACTACCTTATTGGGGATTCATTCTGATGCTAGTTTCAATCGGGCGAATGAGCTTGTAACACTTCCAATTTGTTCACCGTGCTTTTGGAATAACCTCAAACAAGCCACTTTGTCAACCGTCCATGGCAAAGTAATGAAATGTCAATGTTGCATGATATGTTGAACACACGATTCACTTGATCTTCCTAATTGGCATGAGCATCCTCTGTATCGATATCTGGGAGATCTCCCAGGCATTGAAAGGCTTTCTGAACGAGACTATCCATCTCATGTTGTTTGTTGTCTTCATAATCCTTGTCAGTCAACTCCCATAACTTCTTTTCAAAGGTGTCATAAACCTTTTGCACTATGAAACCAAGACTTTGTTTTCGATTAGGGAGTTGCTTGTGAATTGGAACAAAGTGTACCCTACACATGTGCATCACAGATTCCACGGGAACCTCGTCTTGATGGAAACTATAAAAGAGTTCTCTATTGTCATGAGACTGCCAACTATCACCTCCCTTTATCTCTGCCTCTTCAGGTCGGTAGAACCATTGCACAATAACCATCATGTTTTCATTTTTGGTTCGTGCAATATCCTATAAAATCAAAAGTGCCTAGCTGAATATGACAAAACATAATAGAAACCAAGAGTAGAAACAAAGTTTTCTAATACGTAGAAGAGAAATATGTTTGGCATTGTTCAAGATTCTATATTATTGTTCAACAAGGTATCGCTCATTAGAACTTCCAATGCTAACTCATGATGATGTCCATTTAGAAGGAAAGTGGTGAAAATTTAAATTGGATTAGCATGATCTCTAATACTTTTCACATAACTCGATTTCTGAGCCCACACAGTGAGATAAGGAGGCATTGAATAAAAACGGAGGCACCAAATAGTTACCTTGATAATAGCCACATATGGTTTATGATCTGTTTCAGCGGGGTCGACAAGTATAGTATCCTCCTGAATGATAGCCACAAACAAGTAAACAAATGCTACTAGTTATTCTGAAGTGGAAACAAAAAACATGAGAACAATATTTTACTAAATTAATGAAAGCAAAACGTATATCTTTCAGCGAATTACAGAGCCTAAGTGATCATATAGACCAAAGGAACGCAATTTGCCAATATAGGAGACATCAAGAAATCGTAGTGAAGCAATCTTTTCCACTAAAACTGTTGGAAATTGTGATTCATTTTTGACAAAAAAAAATTTTAGTCCAATCTAGACTCTCTAGATGGATGTGAGTAGCAAGAAAAAGCAAGTAGCAGAAGTCCAAGTCGGTGGACAAAGTCAAGAACTTGGAAAATCCTAGAACAAACTAGTCTACACGTGCTTAGGAAAGAAGTACACTTGGAGGACAAGAATATGACCTCTAGAGTCGGCTAAGATGGCCTATAAATAGGCTTGTATCATTCATGTAAGAAGGTGTGGGGAGATGAGCTTATAAATCACACATACTCAGCTCCTCCGCCCATACTCCTCCATCAATTATATTTGTACCACTATTACGTCCAACTAACGAAACTATTTTCCATTATCCCACTATCTATATCCTTTAACTATCCTTCTTGGTTCATTGTCTATCCTCTACCAATTATATCATACATACGTATATTTACACACATTACAAAAATTATAAACTATCATCGATATCATACGATACTTCCGAACAGTTTTAAAAAACTTAACATGGTATCAGAGCTTTATAAAATTTCTACAAAAAACAAAGAAAAAGGTAAGGTCTACAAAAATTAACCTGAAACGAAAAATAAGAACAGCTTTAGTGTTCTCTTATTTATTACCTATGTTTACTATTTAGGCAGAATAACATCATCCGTTGTTACTAAAAAATTCAAAGAAACGATCCCATCCAAAGCAGAATCGCCAAGGGTAAATCGAAAAAAAAAAAAAAAGAAGCAAGTACGCACCAGCTTGTAGTAATCTCCATGGTATTCGAATGCCAGGTAATGCCTCCTCCGCCCGCTCCCGTTGCCAGAAGACTTGTACGGAAGGCCCACAACCTTAACATCCTCATCAGCGTGCTCCTCCTCCTCCTCCTCCTCTTCCTCTTCCTTCTCCCTCTTCCTCTTCGCACTCTTTGCACTCTTCTCCTCTCGCCCGCCCTCCTGATCAGCCTCAGGTTCACCTCCGTATCCGTCCTCATCCTTGTCGTCATCCACGAGCTTCGCCGGCTTCCGGCGCTTGCTCCTGGACTTGGCCTCGCTCTCCGCGGGATTCTTCGAGGGGCGAGTGACTCGCTTCCGAGGATGCGGCTCGTCCTCCTGGTCATCGCTCGTCGGGAACTGCCGGAACCTCCGATTCCCCATCGTGTGCTGTCCTCCGGATGGATTACGAAAATGGAACGCCTGCATGCATCTGGAGAGAAATTGTGAAAATGGAGCGCCTGCATACACGTGGAGAGAAAGATGGGAGTGAGTTTGAGAGAGCGAGTCCAACGGCACATCTCTCTCGTTGAGGAGGAAGGAGAAGAAGAGATAGATGAATAAGTCAAACTTGGCAAAATCGTCTCACTCCACTTCCCCGATCTCTCTCTCTCTCTCTCTTCACTCTTCCTGCATCCATGGCCGACAGCGTCTTCGATGGGCTGTCGCATCCCAATTTGTTTCCTCATACGGCCGTTGTCTCTGGTCTCGGTAAGGCGGACCCACGACTCGAAGCAGCGGTGGAGGCTTTCTTCAGATTGATGAGTTCGGGTAATCAGCCAAATGAAGTATGGCTTCGTTGCGATTCTGACCGCTTGAATACGGCTGACTGAATTGGAGCTAGGTTTGCCAGTCCATTCTTTTGGTGGCTAAAACGGGTTATTTAGAAAGCGTCTCGTTGCGAATGCACTCATGGGTATGTACAATATATGCGAGTGTCTGGATTCTGCTCTTGAATTGTTCGACGATATGCCTAAGAGAGACATTGCTTCCCGGAATACTGTGGTTTTCGGGATGGGTGAAGGCCCAACTGCACGAAAGAGCGTTCGAATCTTTTCGGCAAATGGACCAAATCGATGGTTTTAGAGCCCGATTAGATGACTCTTTCTGCAATGCTGACTGCCTTTACTGATACTAGCAGTTTAATTAGAGGAAAACAAATTCATGGTCATGCCGTCATAATTGGTTTGGAGACTGACTTGAGTGTGAACAATGCACTTATCGGATTTTATGTAAAATGTGGATCCATAGATGATGTGGAGGCCTTGTTTGAGAATATGGACACGAGGGATTACCACTTGGACTGAGATGATTAGAGCCTATGCGGAGTTTGGGTTGATTGATACGGCTATGGGGACGTTTCATATAATGCCAGAGAAGAATTGTGTTTCTCGCAACGCCCTTTTGGCAGGGTTTTGTGTAAATGGCAAAGCTTTTGCAGTGCTCGATCTATTTATTAGTATGGTGCGGGAGGGCTTGGAGTTGACTGACCACACCTTAACTACTGTTGCTAAGGCGTGTGGGTTACTCGGGGCAGGGAAACTTTGTGAGAAGTTGCAAGGGTTTATTATCGAGTTTGGTCTCCTGGCAAATGCTTGTGTGGAAGCAGCTTTGCTTGATATGTGCACTCATTGTGGGAGGACAGTGGATGCTGGAAAGATGTTGACACGGTGGCCTTTGAGTGGGATAGTTCCATCATTTGTACTTCTATGATATGTGGGTATCAACAGAATGGGCTGCTGGATGAGGCAATATTGCTATTTTGCCGTTGTAAAGTAGAAGGGAGCATAATTCTTGATGAAGTTGCATCAACTTTTTTCTAGTGCCGTCTCTGTTTTCAGAGTTAACAAGTGCTCTTTGAAGTTTCTCAAAGCGTCGCAATCACTATCAGTGGCTGAATTGAATCTAGACCGAACCTGATTCTTCAGGTACTCTCTCTCTCTCTCTCTCTTTCTCCCTCTGGATCTTCCGTTTCTCAGTTGCGTCCAATCTTAGATCTTTGGTAAATTCTGGATCAGGGGTGACTTCATACTTGAACACACGGTTCACATCGAAGTATCTCTGTTTTAAGCTGATTTTATCTGTTGGGTTTGCTATTTTCTAGTTGGAAAAGTGATTACTTTGACTCTTTTTGCATAATATTAGTCAGAATATGTTGGTAATTGAAGTCGGTGCTTTCGCGATAGCTTATTGAGGGCTTTGGGGTTGGATCTGTGCTACGTAGGAGGTGCTCAATGCTTTAGAGGTTTTTCAATTATGTGTCAGCAAAAATTTCCTGGCCTTTTCACGTGGATCCATCCCATTGCAATTGTGTAGACGTTTCCTGTCTTATTTATTCATTCGAGTGGTGTCAATCAGCAATTCCAGTATATGGCGGCTTGAGGACATTTACAGGAATTAAATGATGATTTCGTGCTGGAAATAGCAAACTGATAACTTTTTCCTTGTTTGGGCCCCCCCAGTCATTGATTCGAATCCCCCTGGTTGCTCCTTGGCCTCAAAGAAGCCTTGGTTTGTCTGATGTAGGTTGGGCAGTGCCATGGCGTAGGATAATCCTGAGTCTACTCCCACTAGCATCGTGCTAGGGCGACGGTGTCAAGCTTGCTCAAAACAAGTAGTAGGCTCATTCTGTAATGGGTGTGGAGCTCCTATAGTAATGCCCAGAGAGTCACCCCTTTCCACTGTTTTTAATGATAAAAAAGATTTGAGTTTTGAGCGAGACAATATCAAAGAGATTCATGAATGGAGAGACAATTTGTCAGGTCATTGTGTCTTCGATTGTTCTCGTCCTTTTATTATATTTCTTTGCCTCTCTTGTAATTATTTCGTTTTGGTGTCCTAAATTATAATATTGCTATCTGTATTTGCTTCTTCAGTCATAGTGACTAAGATTTTTTTCTCAACAGTTTCCAAGTTTTCGTTTCCGAGTGGGCATTTTCAATTCATTGTTTGCTGCCACTAGTACGGTGCAGAGTTTACTTGTTTCAAATTCTCCTGATAAGTGATACAATGTTCTTTTCGATCCCTATTGTCTCATCAAGTTTCTCCCAAAACTATGTGCTTGCTGGAATCTTCAAATACCCGTTAAACTTCATTTTTTTGTATGGCTTACTGAAGTCCCGAGTTTGCTGCAGTAAGAAGCAAAATCCTTTTATTAACAGTGAGTGCTAATTCACAGTAATTTGTAGCTGTTCCTTTTGACTTACTTTTCATGAAGACGTCAGCACCTGTGGAAGCCAACAGGGGACAACAAAATGGAATTCAATAGCTGCTTGCTGCAGAACAAGAGGCACAGTGCATTGCCAATGCTGCCAGAGAGGGTAACATGTCTCTAAATCTGCTTATTGGTTTCTTAGTTTCATAGCATTTCCATTTGCTTACTGAAATGAAGTTTGTCTACATACTGTTATTACACGTTAGATCTACCATCTATCACAGACTTATACCAGTGCATTTACTTTAGTCTTAACTAGCATGATCTCAGTGCTAGTTGTTCTCTCTGGAGAATTAGTACTCTATGGTTGTGTATGGTCGTTAAGATTTTGAGAGTGAACCTAATAGGAGATGGCAGGATAAGATATATCATGGTTAACCAAGTAAAAGACTAATTATAGACACATCTAATCCCTTTCTTTATAAAGAGGAAGCCTATTTTAGGTAGGTAAACCATTGGGCCAAAAAATGCCCCACTAACCTCTTGGACAAGGGGAAACACGAGCAAATCCCAAGTGGTGGCCCAAATATGGAATTTTGTGACTTTGTGGTGTGAGGATTCAAGCCTATCTTGTGCTCTTAATTCACACTCACCAGCTAGTTGTTAAACACGTAGTCAACCCTGTGGGATTAAGCATCTCCAGTCCTTGTATGATTCGTTTTTTTTTTTGTTGAACGGTCCTTGTATGATTCATTTGGCCTTGGCCTGTGTTTTCTTGCAGAAAACTTAAAAGGAAAAAAAAAAACTAACGAAGGAAAAAGGATGAGGCGCATGTGTCCTTACATCCGAGTGAGGTGACAGTACCCGGGTACAATTCCCCAGTGCCACACATGATTGTCTGTGGAGCAGTAAAACTAGTATTAGTATATTTTGAATGTTACTTACTATTGTGCACTGGACTTTGGTTTAACATAATGAACGTATAACATCACTTCATAAGCTGTTACTTGCTTCTAGTAATTGCTTGTTGCTGGATTGGTATAAATAGATTCTCAACTGGCTCTTTACAGCGAAAATGGCTGGCTAAGGCAAGCCAAAGAAGAGGCAGAGAAGGAGATCATTGCGTTTCGTGCTCAAATGGAGGGTGAGTTTCAGAGAAAGGTTGCAGAGGTAAGAATAGGAAAATATAGTCGTTTTGACTCCATCTAGTATCCTAATATGGTATTTCCGTTTGTGAAGGAAAAATGCATGTAATTGGAAGTTCAAAATGACAAAGCTTTGCAGCTCTGTACTACTTGAAAAGCGAAGCTCAATTGGGATTGGTTGCTTTCTTTAAATTCAGCGAGTCTTTGTACTTGATAAATTTATGATGGTAGTCATGTGGTTCTATCTTATGACCATTCTGTGGCCACAAGGACTCTGGATGTACAGTACTTATGTAAACATGCATCAATAAAAGATGGGATTGCGATAATATTTACTGATGAGAGCAGTAGTTAGGTTGATTTTGGGGAATCTGTTCACTAGAACTTGTTTAAGCACTTAGTGTTGTTGTCTTGGAGGGAACTTCAAGTTGCTTTCTTGGGTCATGAAAATATAGGATAAAGGAATGTCTGTTGGAACCAAATAATAGCGGTGATCTGCTGCTTGTGTACTCATGCTTGCGCAGATCTCATGCCCTGCACTTGTTCAAATCAGCGTATATAAAGTCTTAGTTTGACGAGCTCTGGAGCTTTGCCGAAGCACATTACAACCATCGTAATGCGGCATGAATTAAATTTCAGAAATTTATCATCTTTAAATTTAGGAGCTTTTACTGTCTTCTCTTTATAATTGCTTGGAGTAGGCTGGTTCGTACTGGTTAATGAGCCTGTCTCCATTTCCATGTGGTGCCAATCAAGCAGAGTAGTGGAGATTCTGGCGCTAATGTCCAGCAGCTCGAGCAACAAACGGAAGCGAAGGTTGCACACCTGAGGACGGAGGCCACAAGAATTCCTCAGGACGTCGTGTAGATGCTGTTGAAGCATGGGACCACTGTGAAGAACTAGGGGCGTCATGTTAAGTGAAAGGCACGAAATTGCTCGAGGGCGCCTTGTCGGCGTTTGCATGTTTTGATCGGTGCTTTCTTGATCGGTGCTTTCTTGCTGGGTATTACGATTTCTTTTTTTTTTTTCCTGATGGGTGTAACTAGTCCTATGTGCTGCCGTGAATCTATATATTTATGAATGTGATTTGTAAAATCATGTCCTTTTTAAGAAGTCATTGCTCTTTGTTTGTTGTCTGTCCAAAGAGGTTCATATGCTTATGTGGAGATGTCAGTTTTGAAGATTCGGTTGCCATGTCCTTTCTCCGATCTACACGAGCTCGGTCCAGTGTTGGTGCAACTTCACTAAAAGCATATCAAAGATGTCTTTGGGGGCCAATCTCCATCCAACACTACAAATGATCACTGCTTATGCTCGCATTTGAACAAATTCAGGGCCATTATGAATCAATTTATCAATGTCTTAACTAGAGCCCTCTTATCTGTATAGACCATGCTAGACCAAATCAATGAACGGGCCAAGCCGGGTCACAGTTATTAAGCTCTGACGGTAAGGCAGGGCAGGATCGGGCCCAACGTGAGGCTAGTAAACCTTGCCCAAGCCCAAGCTCGCCATCACAGGAGGGATTCGGCACATTTCTTTC